ATATATATATATATATATATATATATATATATATATATAAACCTAGTGATATGATGTACATGCATTATGAATTACATAACGTAAGTCACATAACTAACACTTTAGGGGATTGCAGTAATGAAAGATTGTCCCCATTTTTTGTTGATTTTTATAATATGTAATATGTTTTTTTGCTCAGTGTCATATCGTGCGTATTTGGGACACATAATTCTAATGACACAAATGTGCATATTTATTCATCATTTAATTGTAGTTTAATGCCATCATTTTAATCTTTGTTTTAAAAAATATGAAATTGTTTCAGTGGCTTTGGAAGTCCAGAACTAGACTGTGTCTCAGTCTTTATCTGTCTGTTTTATTTAAACCATTAGCACTGAAAAAGAAAATCTAATAGCAATAAATGACTATTTTTGCTTTAATTATAGGTTCTCTTTTATAATACTGGAGTGAAAGACCTTTGTTCTGTTGTGCTGACATTATGCTCCTTGTTCCCAGGTAATGTGAATCCATTTGTTTTCAACATTTACTCTTTGTTTGTATAGTTATGAGGTTGAATTTTCAATGCTACATTTGGATGTCTGGTCCAATATAAAGCAACTGCCACATACAAACTATATAGTAAGTTACACACATAGTCAACCTGGCAATAACATAGTAAATGCCCCATGCACTTATAGATGATAATCTCTTTCATCTTGCAAAGTTACTCTATTATCCTTTTGACCTGATCTCACACAATGTAAATGTCATACGTTTATAGCAATTTATTAAAGAAAAGTATTCATCATGTTAATATATGGCAGATCAAAATGATCAAGTAAAGATAAAAATGTCTGGTCAGATATAGTCTTTAGTTTTTAATCTCCTGATCATGCATAACAGCTTAAAAATAAATATGCAAAAAAATACATAAGCAGGGAATCAAATGAAAAATAAACAAAAAACAGACAGTGGAGAAAAAAGTGCATGCATACTAAATGAAAAATTAAGAAAAAATTGAAATTAAAACAACAAATGTAAAAAGTACATTGGAAGTGGAAATACAACAAAATATAAGTTAGTTTCTAAAATAAAAGCTTTCTGGTTCCTCAAACAGAAACTATGCCAAATTAAATTATTGGTCACCAGTATTATATATTGAAGATGTGACTGCCAAAATAAGTTTGTAAGGAACAAAGATAAAAATTATTTTTCCCACTACAATATATGTTATGAACGTGTATTAGTAGATTAATTAGCACCAGTGCTTACATGTGAATATGAATTTTAATTATTATTGAACCTATTAATTTCTGTTATGTATAATGTAATTTAAATCATGAAACAGTAATCATCTGAAATATTTGTGTATCTATTGTTACACACTATAGGACATTTCATTGTTAATATTATTATTCAGCACTTTGGAATCTTCTGTTATTAATACAGTTTATTTGTTATGCATGAAAATTCTTCTATTGAAGGTTAAGATTGTGAAATAAAAACAGCAAAAACTTTGAAAAAGTTTAATATACCTCTTTTTAAAAAATAACTTTTGTTTTCAAATTATTAGTATTTACAATAAAGCATTTTCTCATTACTGGTACTTCCTGTCATATGCCATTTACACTTTCTTTAATTTATTAAAAGTTCAGAAGAGACTTGCTTTTGTCTTGTTGACAAAGAACTTGCCCCATTTATTGTTCACTGGTTTGTTAGTATCAAGCCAGTTGTCCATTTTTTCTATCATAACAAGACACTAATATCATCTGAAAATGATAAAACAGAAGCTAAAACAAGGAAATCTGTAATCAGCAGACTGAATAAATAGACAAAACATTATAACCCGTGTTATATATGCTGTAAAACAGTTTCATGGCAGTAGTGGAAAATGCAAGCAACTTAACTAATGTCAGAACAGAATTTGCATTTTTAAGAAATACGAGTATAAATTACAAGTAAAATTGGTATTTTTTCTGTTCTGCAAGTTTTTCATGTTAACTTGGAAACAAATTATGTGCCATGTAGGTGACAGTGCTTACTCGTAAAATAAGTTGATCCATTTCAGTGTATGAAGAGCAAAAGATTGTTTAAAGAAAAGGAAATTAGGGATTACATATTTTTCCTCTTTGGTACTCCTAATTATCAATGTTAAACAGTTGACAGAATCTGCTTCAGCAGTGAAAATCAGTACAAAAGCAATTGGATAAATACTATTGATGAAAGAAGTATTTAGTAGTATAGTTAACATTTTGAGCAACCACCCCTCATCAGAACTAACAGTAGGCTATTGGAGGTTCAAACTTTAACTTTACTGATAAATACAGCATTCAGCAGTAATATTTTGCCAATTTGATTTTTATTACTAGTTTTTTATTAATGGCATCTGGAGAATACATTATTGTATATTCACATAAATTCAATTACACAAAATACATCACTCTATAAACAGATTTGGGTGTCGCCTGTTGATAATTGTGGCTGGAATACAAATCTGCAAGTTCATGGTTTTCATCCTTTTCTGTAAAAAAACTGCACTTTCAAGCCATCCAGAAGAATTATATAAAATAAAGTTTTCATAAAAAACTCAATATTTAATAATAGTAGCAAGACTACTAACTTTAGTCATTAAACTTATTATTCTACAGAAATTAAAAAAACAAAACGTAATGTAATTATGATTAAGTGTTCTAAGTAGAACTTCATGTACTATAAGACAGTATCTAACAAAACCACGAGGTTTTTTTAGCTTTTCCTCCACACTTTCTTTAATAAAGGGCCAGTTAGAATGCAAAATTAAAGCATAAGAATTTAAGAAATATTTAGAAAGATCAAGATATTAAAAGATTCATATCGTGTTATGATTTTGAATATCAAAGGAAATTAAATAACAATTACTTTATTTCTAGACTATAGAATTGTAAATAATTTATTTAGTTTTAATCAGGTGGATATATCATAATAAATTTGACCTGAAAATAAGTCGGATATACAAGATCGATCTTCAGTCAGTTCAAAGAAGCAAATGACAATTGTTCTTTTTTCTTAATCAGATATACTTTCTTTCTCACAAAGCTTACATGTACATCTTCAAAAAAACTGACATGAGCAAAAAATGCTTCGAAGTATTATTCCTTTTATTCTTTTTAAAATAGTTATAATACATTGATGTATAATTTTTCTAGATCTAGATAAGTTACAAGGATATAGCTTACTTTTTTCAAAATATTTTGTAAAGTATTTTTTCTTGTTTTATAGAGCATTTGTTTTTACTGTTTTTACTAAGGAATGATTGAAAAAGGATTGGAGGAATCAGCCAGTGTAAGTTTGAGAAGACTGTCACCAGACCTACGAACTATTCAGGAAGGAGATTATTTGGAAGTTCACTATGAAGAAAGTGAAACTGAGCCAGTGTCAGTTCATGATTTAGGTTTCTGTAAAAACATAGCTGAAGAAGTAGAAAACCAAAAGAATGTTGTAAAAGCTAAATCAGTAGAAAGAGAATCATCTAGCTTACATCTTGTATCACCAGATTATAGTAATGCTACAAAGTTATCTTCTAAGAAGGAAATTTTGGAAACTCATGAAAAGCAAAAATTTTCTGATGATCATAACTTAACATCACATCTTGTTGAGTCCCAAAATGTAGAAGTAAAAATAGAACCCAAATTCAAAGAGTGTAATATTAAAGCTATTCCTAAAGATTTAGACAACATAGATGAAACTTGCAACTCAAAAAATGAAGAACAAGTGGGAGACTACAGCATTATTCAGTCAAAAGTGCAGCAAACTCTGGGAGTTCACAAAAGTAATGTTACTGTAAATGAAGAAGAAAATGGAAACCTTCTGAGAGAAATAGAAGAAGCATTGGCATCCATGTCAGTAACTCATTCCACAAACAGTAGATTTTCTTCTCATGAATCAGGACATGAAGGCTATAAAGTTCCATTTTCATTATGTGGTTCTGAAGGGGATAGTAACGATAAAACATATGGAAATGAAAAAACTGTGATTTCCAGTTCTTTGTCTTACTCTCAAGATGTTCCAAAAGAGGATTATATGTCTGTAAACAATGAAAATAGCCTGCTTGATGAAGAATTGAAGAAAAATGTGTACAAGTCAATGTCATTAACATCAGTTTTAAGCTTGGAACTAGATTCCTGTGGGCTCCCATTGGAGATATTCAAAAAGGTAGGTTTAATACAAGTGTTTTTGCAGGCCTCATAAAGTTTTTATTCATTTAGAAGTATGGTTACTAAAACTATATATATACATTTTACCATGGGAAGTGAACTTAAGTTGTCATTACCTAATGTTAATTATGTTTACATGTACCTTACAGGATGTTATGTTTATTAATTTACTTGTATCATTATCGCAAATAACAAAACAAAATATTCCTCAGACTAAACATTTTTATTAAACATTTATCAAAAAAATTTGCAAGCTTAGAAGCAATTCCTCAACCAGTTGAAAATTTAGTTATTTGTGTTTTAGTACCCTGTAATAAGAGAGATGCTTAGAAATGTAGTTGAAATTTGTTAACCATCTTTTTTTCTTGCATAGTTTTTCTATTTACTAATACCTTAGTTTAGTAAAACATGAGGTTGATCTCTCAGTATCAAAATAATGTTTAACTGAACAGAATGCAGGTTTTGAAACCAAAAATACTATATGGTTTTAACACAGGATGAAATTGTTGTGATGGCTATAATGAAAGTAAGTTCCTGAAAGTAGCTGATTCCATTTTGTTGCAAGATAAATTTAAGTTCTGGATGTGCTTGTGGGACATTGTTGATATATTTATCTAATAAGAAAATCTGTTTGTACTGTTAGTGCTTTGTTATCAAGGAAACTAGGTTTTTTAATTGTTTCAGTTATTGGTATCTTAACTCTTGGTCAGTGAGGTTGAAAATATTTTTTCCAGTGGTAAAACATCTAATTATAATTATGTTTTGTAATAAGAATAAGTTGATTGCAAAACCAGTATTAAATATTATTGATGTTAAGTGGATATAAAGAAATAGAAAGTTAGTGGTGGCTGTTTGGCAAAAAACTAGTGGGTTCTTGTTTAGTCAGTGAGGGGCAATGGAATTATTTTGCCATTTGATAATCCAGACATGATTATAAATATTACGAGCAGCTGTAAACGACTGTAAAATTATTAAAAACATCTAGCTGCAAGCACTCTATTTATGAAAGAACTCGCACTGCGATACTCAACTGAAAAGCCTTTTCCAGATCCAAAATCTGTTTTGAGATAGTTTTTATTTTTTGGTAGAGCTGGACAATTAATCGTATCTGCTAGTTGATGAATCAAAAAGCTCATTAATCGGTTGCATTTGATTACTGTATTAGTACATGCCCTTATATCCCTCCCCTCGTAAAAGAAAATTTTTTAAATTATCTGATTTGATGATAAATTATTTTATTTGGTAAACATAATAATAAAAAACTCATGTTTACAAATATTGCAACACGATAAAATCACATTATATTTATTAAAAAGAAAAAAATTATGTTTAAACAAAGAACCAAATATCAACAAAATACTTTTACAAAGCCTTAAGCAACCACCATTCATGTAATTTTTTTTATCATACTGTATATATATATTTTTCTGTGTTCTGTTTGTATTAATGATAAAATTTTCAAACGTTGGTTACTCTGTTAAACTTGTAATAGTTTTCTTTTTGCCCATTCAACCTACTTCTTAACTGTACAAGCTTTTCTTTTGTCAAGTTATCTGGTGCCTTCTAGATCAAGAAAATCTTTGTAGCTTTCAAATAGATATAATTTAACACACAAATACTTTCACAATTCACATCAAAAGAAACAGAAAAGAATGTTTACAGAAACAATAAAAAACTTTTAAATTTATAATGAGTATATATACAATTAGTCTAATTCTTGCTCTATCTAATCATATTTGAAATTTATAGCTGTTTTCAAAGATGTGTTTCATCAGTTCATGATCAAATTATTATGGAATCATAAGGTGGCAACAAAGGCCTTTACAAAAACTAAGGAAAATGCTGGAAAATCAAGAAGTGGATACATTTCTGAAAGGGTAATAGGTTATTTTTGGGATGCATAGAAAAATCCTAAAACAATTGACAACTTCAAGTGGGGTTGTTTGTTTACAGGCAAACATCTGTAGCTGTTTAGAAATTAATATATATAAACTTTTTTCTTCATAAATTACAAAGATAAATGTTCTAAAGTAACAAAATGTAAATTTAAAGTGTTTTTGAGTTAAAATTGTTAAAATATGGTTAGGATTAACATATAAAAGTGACCTTAAAATTTGTGTCTGAAAAAATTTTATCAAGTGGCAAAAAAACATGAAAAAGCCAGATTAAGCTCTGTCTTCAGACTTTTGACAGTTATGATTTTATCTTACTAAGTGATGTTTCATTTTTACAATTGTAAGATATCAGTTAACTTTGTTAAAGTTAGCTATGTAACGCTGTAACCAAATTTTTAGTATTTGTTATGTGAAAGAAAACTTCATGAAAATAAAATTGTTACGACACACCGATATACAGCATGAATTTTTGGGTTACTGTTTCAGGCATGAAGGCTAATCATACCTCATATCTAGCGTCACTCAACAACTGGGGGGAGGGGTCACTCTTAGTTGAGGATGTCCATGATCTGATCTGATTCGTAGTGAGATGAAGACATATATTTAGTTTGGGGGGCTCTGAGGCTGTTTTTGCTGATGATCCTGGACATTTTGGAGAGAATTTAGATTTGCTTTTTCTGGCACCATCCTTTACTAGGTTGGCTTTTCATGAGGCCAGTTTGGATCAGTCACCTCTGGCTCCTTTTCTTCACTTTGTCAATCGGGTATGTAATGTTTTGGGTTTTTCCCCAGTTGCCTTTGAACCTATTCCTTCCTTGATGGCAGAAAGGTCTGAGGGTGAATACTTAGATCTTCCTACATCACCCGATATTGCTGTTTATGCAGAGAGGTTTACCACTCATATATGTGAAGAAGTAGTTTGCCTCATCTGCCATGTTCGTCAGAACAACCTTCATTCTATAGACCTGTGCACACCATTATATGGACAACTGGTTACTCCTGGCACCATCTCATCAGTTGGTGGAATGTCACACCAAGATTCTCCTTTCAGAAGCCACCAAGGCAGGCTTTATTATCACAGCCAAGAAATATATTCTCATTCCAACTCAATATATCATCCATCTGGGAGTCTTTTACAACAAGTATCTAAGTCAGGCTCAGCCGACTCCCATTCGTCTCCATGCTATGGAACAGGCAGTCAGACTCTTACTCGTGTCTCCTTCTCCCACTGTGTGGATGGTTCTTTCTCTTTTAGGAATGTGGGCATCACTTGAACCTCTCATTCCTTTGGGATGAGTGCACATGAGATCCCTTCAGTGGTCACTGCATGGCCAGTGGATCATGAACAGCAAGCCACTGGATAACATCTTAGATCTCGTAGTGATTAGAATGGAACAGTACTATGATAGGTGTTCCTCTACTTGTCACGTTGTCAAGAGATCTATCTCTTCACAAGTGCCTCACTTCAGGGATGTGGTGCATATATCAATGGTCAGGAATTCCAGGGCCTATGGACAGATGACAAAACTTCTTTCCACATCAATATTTTAGAGCTTTTTGCTGTCCAGAGGGCAATGTCTCAAGGTCTAGAATTATTGAAAGGAAAAATCATCATGCTTCACTCCAATAATTCCATGGTGGTGTCTTACATTTTCAGTCAAGGGGGTACTCGATCACGGGATCTTTGTTTTCAAACATTGTATCTTCTTTATTGGGCTCCTTCCCACCATATCAGCATACTACTTTGCCATGTTCAAGGGGTGATGAATTTAATAGCAGATAATTTGTGTCAACCCAGCCGGATCTTTCTGACCGAATGAATGCTTAAATTTAATTTTTTGTTGTTGCTGGCCTTTGAATGTCTCCAATCAGAGTTGGTTATGCTCCATGTGCACAGGAATCTTTATCATTCTACTTATGTTCTTCTGTACCCAGATAGGTCCTTCCTACTTAAGACTCTGGCAGCCAGGGAAGGGGATAAATCCTTCTCTCCGATTCATTTCTCTGCTATTTCTTACCCTAATTACTGCTCTGACCCCAATCGCTTGTTATGTCCATTTAGGGCCCTTAAATGTGATGTGACTCGCACTAACTCCTTTAAAGGTGATAGACAATGACTTTTTATTCATTGGGATCCTTCAGTTTCCCATGATTTATCCCCCCATTACCTTGACAAGATGGGTTCAAAAATTGATCCATATTGCTTATTCTGGGCTCTCTTTGAAGGTGAAGAAACTTCTGCGACTCACATCTTCACATCTCATCAGATTCATCACATCTCTGTTCTTAGCTGCCTGATTGAATTGCCTGCTGGAGGGGACATTGTGCAGGCTGATTTGTGGACCTCTCAAAATATGTTTATCTCACATTATTTGCAGGATCTGGCAGTTTTTTCTCTGAGGGTTTTTGACCACTTACTGTGGCTATCTTGACCACATCACCTAGGTTATAAGGAAAGGTGAGTATTTGTATTGCTCTTCTTGTCTCTTGTCAGGGCCCCTTATCTCTTTTTTTTTCACTGGATCCCACTCTGTGGCAACTGTTGCTCAGGCAGGTGTGCTTCATCAAACCAATTCTGCACTTGCAACCACTAACTCAATATGAGTTAGCTAATTGCAACAGGCTTTGTAGAAATGGGGTATTCCATAAGACCACCTAGGAGATCACCAAATGGTATTACCATACTATACTGGACTGCTACTCGGGGACTATTATGAGTTAAGCATAAGGGGATCCTGCCTGTCCCTGCCAATCATTAGATTGAATAAATCATAGTGAGTTTGATTTTGAAAATTTAGGAAACTTGGTTCCTCTATTGCACTGTTTCCAGAGAACTGTTCCTCAGGGCTCCCCAATGCACATTGCCCTCCAGGTGGTTCAAGTGGAACTAGGGAGTCCTTACCACACCCAGTTTCCAGTCACTGGGGTGGTGGACATAGACTTTTCTCCAGAGTGTTAGAGTGAATTTCCTACACTCTTGGAGAAGAGGGTGAAGTGAGGGCCCTCCTTCCCATGTTCCTGGAAGTTTTTTTCCCAATGTTGGTAGGGGAACCACCTGCCTATGTGGGAGACTACTTGTAATACCGGCTCAGGTTTGATGCTC